TAGAACACACACATACACACATATATATATATATATATGTACATATATATATATGTGTGTGTGTGTGTGTGTGTATGCGTGTGTGTATATGCGTATAAAAAATCTGTAAAAGGACAATATGAATAAAAACAATAGGAGAACTTATCTTAGCCGACGCGTTTCGCCCTCTGAGGAACTTTATCAAGGCAAGTGCAAGGATTTTATTTTGTGACAAGAAATTTATATACAAGAGCTAAACTGTTATTGGTTTTACAAAATCTTTAACCCTAGAACACTAACCATGGGTATATAGTACCCAGCGCAAATTTTCTTATTTTTAATTACAATTTTCAGTACCTGATTTTATTACCTAAATAATATGTTTTTCAGTTCCTATTAATGTTAACTTAAAGTACAAAGTTTGAAGTGCCTGCATGTAAAATATTTCAAATAAAGATTTATATTTAATATTTTTTTTGATATTTTCAAAATTGGTTATGATATACCCATGGTTAGTAGTGGTGTAACTTTAATTGATGGTTAGTGTTCTAGGGTTAAATTTAAGAACGCTCATAAATATTTATTAGGTTAATTGAAAATGTCAGGCAAGCTGTGGAAGACGCGAAGGGATACAATTCAATGTGTAATAAACGAAAGTAAGCCAAAATGTTTGCTTGTTTTTCTTCTAATTCAAGTCCTGACAATTTTAGAAATTCATGTGCATAGACAGGGAATATATAACATGAGGTTTTGAGTAATTTATGTGAACATTGTGGAATAACTTTTTCTTTAATCCAATTATTAAGAATTTTTTTCTGTTTCTGTGAGAATGTAAGGAAATATGAATATTTGTTACCAAATAAAATCATTTGGGCGTATATTTTTTTCTGTATTTACGTGTAAAGCGTAAGTGAATGATTTGTAATCAGTGAAAACAGTAAGATTTCGTCCTTCGCGTAGATGTCGGAAATGCCTTATGGATAAGTAAATTTCGAGTAACTCCCTCAAGAAGGTATTGTATGTTTGTCGTGCGTTGCTTAATTTTATTGAGTAAAAAGATATTGGCTTTTCTGAGCCATTTTCATTCTGATGTAGAACAGCTCAAAATGAATCTCCTGAGGCGTCGGTCGTTAATGTGAGTGTTGAGTTAGCATCATCAATGATATAAGAGTTTAGTAAAATCTGTTAACACTTTTTAGCGTCATGAAATGCAGTTAATGCTTCTCCGTCGATAAGTATTATTTTTGCATTCTTATTCTTTTGTTTTTTCAACATGTTTGTGAGTGAGGATCAAAATTCTGGGACAACCTGGAATAAATCTACGGTAGTAGCTTATGAAACCGAGAAATCTTCGTAGTCCTCTCGGTGATGTTGGTTGCGTGAAATGTTGTATGGCAGCTATTTTCTCTGGGATCGGTGTGATTCTGTGTTTGTTGATCACATGGCCCAAGAAATTCAATTTCGAAACAGCAAAATCACATTTGTTTACACTGATTATCAACCCGAAATGTGTCAGTCTCTCGAAAACTTGTTGTATGTGATCTTAGTGTTCTTTGCTATCCCGACTAGCGATAAGATCGTCATCAATATAAGCAAAAGCAAAAAGTCAATCCTCTGAAAACTTCTTCGACAAGTCTTTGAAAAGTTTGGACAGCATTACGTAACCAAAATGGCATCCTCGTGGACTTATAAAGTCCGAAAGGAGTTGTCATTTAAGTTTTCTTTATGTCTTCTTCCGGTACTGGAATTTGGCGACATGCCTTAACCAAATCCAGTTTTGTGAAAACCGTGATTCCCTGTATATCTATGGTGAAATCGTGTAAATGTGGAATTGGGTATTTATCTGGAACTGTTTTTCTGTTAGGTTTCCTGAAATCCCCACAAGGTCACCACGCGCCTCTGTCTTGCTTTGGAACCATGTGTAGTGGAAAGAGTATGGACTACTTGAAGGACGTATGATGCCTAATTGTAACATATGTTGAAATTCGTCTTTTGCTATTTTATATTTCTCTGGATGCAATCTGTGTGGTAATGTGTGTGTAGGTAGTCAAGTTGTTGTGATATAATCTTTAGCAGTTTGACGAATTTCGTCTGTATGCTTTTAAGGCGTAGTAACAGTAGGAAATTCTTTTATCAATTCCTGCAGTCCATTAGCAGTTGGTATTGCAGAACTAATTCCTATTGATGTGCAGAGTACGGTGATTTCCTTTACCTCTAAATTTGTGTTACTGTGATGAGAGCATGTCGCCATATTCACTGATAGGTAGAAATGAATTTTTTAAAAAATCGCTCCTAGAATTGATGTTTTCACTTGCGCTTGTGTGAAAATCCAAGATCGCCGTAATACCAAATTGATCGTCGTAATCCCAAACTGAGCGTTAGTGATATCTCTCCGTATGATCCATTTGCGGCCTGTAGTGTGTATGTGGATAGTGTATGTTTTTTGGTTATGATCAGGTGGAATAACACTGATTTGTGCACCGGTGTCGGCTAAAAATAAATATCCGGTATTTCTGTCCCGTTCCAGCAGCTAAGGTTGTCTTTACTTGCAGGCGAAGTAATCATTTCCCTCATGTTGTGTCGAAGTGTGGGAGGTCCTTGGATTGAAGTTGCCTGGTTCTGTGCACTTTTCTGCCGCTTTTTCAAACTTATAATGATACCAACAAATATCGTAGGTAAGTCGTTCTCTGGAGGATGAGTTCGACTTGCCCCGACTTCTTCTGCTCGATTTTTGATCTCTGGACGAGAACACTGGAATTTTTGCCTCCGTGCCAAACCCTGTACCTGTATGGCGAGGTTGGTGTATATTGATGTATATGAGAGAATTCTTCTTACCTGTCAGTTGGTGTTCCTATAGTTGTTGGTATATGTTATGTGGCGTATACGCTTTTGTCCTTGTTGTCATGTTTTTTGTCCGCTATTTCTGATACTCTCTCTAACTCTAAACTATCGTGGAGAGATGTGAGTATCTGTGTTGTGAGCGTTTGTAGTTTGTCCGACCATAATTCTTTTAACACTGCTTTGGACATGGTATTGTCTCCTAATAACGAAGTTATAACGAAGTAATAAGGAAGTTTTCATGAGTCCCAGATTCAAATTATTGAATAGATCGTGTAACTTTCTCTAATCCGATTTTCCGACACGCCAAATGATTGATTTTTCAACGTGTCGTAAGGTTTTTCTTCTGGCATCTCGTCAAGGAGATCGAATACCTCTGTCGCCACATCTTCGGGGAGTTGTCCGACAACGTAGGCATATCTTGAGCGTTGCGATGTGATTTTCTTTGCGTTAAAAATTGCGTTTCATTGTGAAAAACAGATTTGCATATTTGTCGAGTTGTAATAGGTAGATTTACAGTTACCGCGGCGGATTTGGTGGTGTTTGCGTCCATTTTCTATGTCTTGGTGTTGTGATTATGTTTTTGCCAAGACTTTGTGGAAGAATTTGTATCCTTTAGATATGTGAGCTGAACATCGGCTTCATTTTATTGAAGCCTTGTTCTTACGAATTATAAGCTTACGAGTTCGTCTCGCGTCGGTTGGTCACCATTTTTTAGGTTCAGTCTACCCGGATTAAAAGTGAAAAATTAAAAGTCAAGTGCCGTGCCAATAAATACATCATAACGCGAAGATTTTTTTTTTTTTGTTTGTTTTTTTTTGTTTATTTGTTTTTACATGGGCTAAAAGGAAAACCAGATTGAAATGGTTATATATTTATGTACATATTAACATTTGTTTTTACATAGTAAACATTGTGTTTGTTCCGGCCATATAAAAATTTTGACAAAACAAAATTTTTCATTTGATATAGGGTAGTTCGTAAAGTCATATGCCTTGGTGTTTGCGTCCATTTTCTTTTATCAATTCCTGCAGTCCATTAGCAATTGGTATTGCGTGTTGTGGTTATGTTTTTGCCAAGATTTTGTGGAAGAATTTATATCATTTAGATAGATAGATAGATAGAGAGATCATTGAGATATTTTTTCATCATTTCATCCCATAAAGTGTGTATATATGTGCGTGTGTCTGAAGCACATTTTAACGGAGTGCATGCGTGGCTGCTGACTGAATGTGTGTGTGCGTGGGTGAGACATTAGTAGAAACGCTGTGCGTGTGAGAGCTAATATGTTAAATCTTATTACGATGATTCCAAAAGGAAATGAACATACAGATAGATAACCAGACTCACTTTTTTGGACGACTATGAATATTTGTTTGAGTTGTGTGAATATTCCTGTTAATGGTGTGTAGTCGTCGCTGACTGGGGTGTTTTATGGTAACGAGAGAATTCTGGTCGGGTGCTTACAGATTCAACCTCTTGTCATCAGCACGTCCAATTGCTGGATGGGTCTTTTCGCCGTGTGTTTTTACTGTCCCTAAAATCGATGTATATGTTATATGTCGTTATCCGGATCATGTGATTGGCTCCAAACGAAAAAGAATTTTGAATTTTTTGTGTGTATAAACGTGTCGATTTTTGTAAATACGGGAATTTATACACGATATTATTTGAAAACAAAAGTGATAACTATAGTAAATTTAAAATGTATTGGGAATTGACATCATAAACAAGATCAAAGTACCTAAAATTTAATCAAATAATAAATTACTTAGAATGTTTCCTTAAATCTTTCAGATTATTGTGTAGCTAAAAATTATCTAAAAAAGGCATTTAGGTTGTATTCGTCATGTAATTTTACTACTACAAGTAATTCACTCTTAGTTAAATCTCGCAATCTTCAGGTTATCGATAAATGTATCAACACTTCATAAAAACACCCATCTACGTGTTAGTAAATGCTTTTCGGCGATATTTTAAACTGAAAATAATTAATATTTGCCTTAATTGATATTAATTAAACTTTGTACAACTTAATCTTCCTTAAAGTTTCAGAAAATTATATTTTATTTTTGAAAGATTTTCTTAATAAAGAGAATTGTTATATTGACAGATATGGCCAATTTTAGAGATCTAAAAGAAAAATCTTTCCAATCAATTTAAATTCAATAAATATTTCCATTTTAAAATGCATTAAAACCCTAGGTGTCGCTTTTTTAGAGGTATAGATAGATAGATAGATAGATAGATAGATAGATAGATAGATAGATGATTGAGTTTTTTTTTTTCATCATTTCATCCCATGTGAGGCGATAATGCCACTATAACGCAGCAGGTTACAGGGAGTGAAAGTGAATAAGAAGACTTTATTCGTAATGATTGAAGAAAGGACAAAAATGATAGATAGATAGATAGATAGATAGATAGATAGATAGATGAGAATAGCCTGAGATAGATGTGAATATGTTGAGATAGATAGATAGATAGATAGATAGATAGATAGATAAGAATAGCCTGAGATAGATGTGAATATGTTGAGATAGATAGATAGATAGATAGATAGATAGATAGATAGATAGATAGATGAGAATAGCCTGAGATAGATGTGAATATGTTGAGATAGATAGATAGATAGATAGATAGATAGATAGATAGATAGATGAGAATAGCCTGAGATAGATGTGAATATGTTGAGATAGATAGATAGATAGATAGATAGATGAGAATAGCCTGAGATAGATGTGAATATGTTGAGATAGATAGATAGATAGATAGATAGATAGATAGATAGATAGATAGATAGATGAGAATAGCCTGAGATAGATGTGAATATGTTGAGATAGATAGATAGATAGATAGATGGATGAGAATAGCCTGAGATAGATAGATATGTTGAGATAGATAGATAGATAGATGAGAATAGCCTGAGATAGATGTGAATATGTTGAGATAGATATATAGATAGATAGATAGATAGATAGATGAGAATAGCCTGAGATAGATGTGAATATGTTGAGATAGATAGATAGATAGATAGATAGATAGATAGATAGATAGATAGATGAGAATAGCCTGAGATAGATGTGAATATGTTGAGATAGATAGATAGATAGATAGATAGATAGATAGATAGATAGATAGATATGGAGGAAAAGTGTTCGTTCTATTTTTTTAAATAAAAGCTACTTCTAGTAGATAATTTTCCTCCTAAACCGTAATGCCGCTAAATTGGTCACTCCGATAAATCTAATACCAAATTGTCACTTAAATATATTTGCATGCAATGATAAAAGGGTTAATAATGGTGAGGCTGTAAACGAATCCATTGGCGTCAAATTTTCGCGGAATTCCTTTCGAACTCATTTGGCAGAAACCAAATTTTTCTTGAACTCAAGTAAGAGGTCATGGCAGTCAAGTGATGGGTGTCTGTGGAAAAATGCCCGATTCTTATTCGAGAAGTGCATTAATCTTTTGATAGAAGATAAGATGTCTCACTTGTACCTGTGATAGGAAAACGAGAAGATAAAATAGGAGTAGACTGGGATGAAATGAAATGTAAGGAAAGAGTAATGATAAAAGAAATCTAAAGAAAGCAAGAAAAGGGATATATATATATATATATATATATATATAGAGAGAGAGAGAGAGAGAGAGAGCGGTGGGGGAGAGAGTAGCGTGAGAATGAGTGATGGTCAGAGAGAAATGAAAAGGGCAATAAAGAAAGTATGAAAGAGGAAGAGAAATATAGAAGAAACAGAGAGAATGTGATGAAGAAAGTAAGAGAAAGAAAGAAAGAAAGAAAGGATGATAATGTGTGGGAGTGGGAGTGGAAGAACGTAGGTGGGTGTGAGAAAGATGGAAAATATAGCGAGTGAAGAATCGATAAGCAGAGAGAAGGGTAAGATAAAGGCCGTGAGAAGAGAGGGAGATGTTAGGAAGGCATAGAGAGGGAAAATAGTGGTGGTGGAGCGAGACGAAAACCAAGAGAGAGGGAGAGAGAGAGAGAGAATAGAAGTGGAAAAGAGAGAAGCGAAGCGATGGATACAGTGAGGAGGAGTTGAGGGAAAGACTCTAAAAGCGTGTAAGACAGACTATTTTTGCATATACATCTAGTTTGTAACAGCAAGAATAACACACACATACCTATGCTCAGCCACGTACCAGTCCAGAGTTTATATTTACACATGTTTTTCACGTCATCTTTCATTTACTCGTAAAGATGCACACACACACACATATATATATATATATATATATATATATATATATATATATATATATATATATATATATATATATATATATATATATATATATAGCACGGTGGAGTAGTTGGTAGCGGCTCGGATTCAGAATGGAAGAGCCGATTTCGAATTCCAGCCAAATCCAGTACATTCACTTACGTCTGGAAAAGGTATGAATCCTCTTCTTCCCCTCAGCTATAGATAAATAGCAGGGCAGACTGAGTTCTATAGCCTTGGATGGCAACTGGTCTAGTAGAATGACAACTCTGAATTCAAAGGTGCATTGCTGTATTCGGCCTTCAAAAGTGTGGTTGGATCTGCACAAAGCCTTCACCGCTATAATCACATCATATGTGCTGGTGTCTGGGCTGTCGATTCATAGAAACTGAGCTGCTTGACCCTCATACGTCGAATACGATGGGAGAGTCCACTATATATATATATATATATATATATATATATATATATATATATCGGGAAAACTGTAATTATTAACACGGTAATTTGCCAGGTAGTTTGCTCGTATCACGAATTTTATCTTCACTGGCGCTCCAATATTATGCCCATGTGCCACACTTGGTTAAATTTAGCAAGTATCTACAACGGGAACTTACCATAAAACAATAGTTAACAATGTAATAACGCAGACCACATGCTTTGATCTCTTAACGACCCAGTATTATGGCCATGTGCCACACTAAGTTAAATTTCAACCCGTAAGTTCATATGAATTCAGTCCTCCCTAGAGTGAATCATTAGCAATATTAAGGATAAACTCTATCAGATAATCTGCCTTGATAAGCCATATAACAAAACTTATCCAAGTTCTGATAAATTGATAATAAGATGATTGGATGATAAGTTTTAACAGAATTAGACGGGAAATTTGTAGGGCACATAGTGAGAAAAGAATGTTTGGAAAAATTGACATTCTCTGAAGGCAAGTGAGACAAAAGAAAACAATTCATAACGTTCATAGCGAGCTTGTGCAAGTGGATGACAGAACATGTGTTACGAGAGACAACAAAAAACAAATATTTATTAAGAGCTACAAAGGAAATTGTGAAGAGCCATAATCACTAACGGCCTGAAAGCACACGGTCCATAGAAAAAGAAGAAACTTGTCAACTATTTTTGAGGTGAAGAGTGTAAATATTTTGCTAAGTTTTGCTTAGTGCGGCACAAGGCCATAATAGTAGAGCATTCAATGAGGATGGAATTCATGATCGTAGGTTGCCGTCTACTAGATTAGCTTTTCAAACGTTCTTCTACGCTCACTCTAGCTACTTTACAAAACTGAAGTAATATCTGGTGTCTTCTTGATTACGAATTTCAAGACATTTTTTATGTTTATACGTTCTTTATACAAATATTTAAGTAAATACTCTATTTATAATAAACAGTATTAACATTTACCGGCCTGAATGTCCGAGAAATTGTCATAAAAAATGTGCGTCCTCCGACAGGAATCGAACCTGTATCCTATACGGAACCGTCATATAGCCTGACGTGCTTTTACCGATTGAGCCACAGAGGAGCGTTTCAGTGATCAAGGTCGATTTTACTGTTTTTAAACTACAATTCTCCATGATTTTCTCTCATATATTCATATCTGCTCGATGCGCATCCAAATGTAAACAAATGACGTCACACATGAAATGGACAAAGTCCGACAATTATTTTAATACATTTTATATATAGCTAAAAAATACAATTGCGTTCAAAGTATATTTAGTTGAAGCCATAAAATTGTTTTCAAAATATTTAGATTTTAGAATTGGGGTTGATGTGCCGCTAAACATCCTAAATTTTCTTAAAGAAATCCAGCTGTATTCCAAAATATAACTTCAACAAAACTACAAAATAAAACACACACACCAGCACCTCTAGTAATTATTTCCACACAAACATGTATATGCAGAAAAGCTGAGTATAATCTACCATGGATCCAATTGTGAAAGCAGAATAATATATCCTATTTTTATTCATCCAAATCAACCAAGAAAATTAAATTTCGGCATTAAATGACCCATAAGGAGTTGATATGCCATTAAGAAAACAAATCAATCATTTAGAAGTTGAAGGTTTTTTTTTTTTTTTGCTCGCTACCTGGGAGTGATAGCCTCCCAGTCGTATGCGACATTAGGGCAAAATTACAAAAATTTGAGAAGCCTAAAATAGAGGTTAAACTGCCGTATGGCAAATTACACAGCAATTCCATTTGCAAATATTTGCTGTCGCACTTACGAACTAATATGTAATTTTGGAACACGTTAAAAGAAGCACTAGTGACAAATAACAAAAGAAGTTAACGAAAAGAAGAGGAAAAAATAAAATGTAACGATAGTGAATGACAGGTGAAATTTTCGATCTAAAAAGAGATAACAGATAACACTGAGAAATGACGAAGGATATATGAGATTAAACAAAAAAAAAAGAACCAGAAAGATAGCAAAATAAGAATGGTTTATGGGAAATATGCAGAGATCAAAAAAATACACAGAACATAGCACGCATGCGCAAAAAAAGATAAAAGAGATTGCATGACAGAAAACGTGCTCTTCAATAGAATGTTTAAAGGCTAGATGGAACATTTATAATGGTACTATAGTAATGGAATAAACAACTAAAACTCTTCCATGACAACAGAAGAGAGAAATCTGCAATACTTAAAAACATAGAAGAGTGCGTAATAGGAAAAATCTGAGGTTAGGCTAGCACTGGCCAAGATGGAGAGCAACAAAAGCAGCGCTCTCAGACTATTGTCATATAGAAATGCTGACAGCCCGGGAGGATTTGGAACTTAATAAGGTTACCGAAATGAAATATACGACACTGGTGAAATATTAGACCTCAGCAGACCAATCATCATAGAATCTCCAAAGAAACAAGTTGTGAGAGAATGCGAACTCCGTCGAACAAGGAGCTTGATATGCCACATGAGCTTTTGAAAGGCATCTTTCGTTATTTCAATGCACCTTCGAATTTCGGGGTCACATGTTAGAAGACTTTCCGAATATTTAAATTTTTATACTTGCTTGATTTCGATATCTCTAATTCGTTCTTAGCATCTTTATCTGTTCCTCTTGCTGGCAACCATATATTCTGTTTTCTCACAATTGATGGTTAGTCTTTTCTTCCCGCTTTCCTTTACTGCTTTATGCAGTTTCTTTTCTGTGTCTACTAGCAAAACAGTATTATGATTGTCCAACAGTAATAAATCCTGCTAGCTCCCCAGCATCGCCTCGTTGTAAAAATTGAAGACACACCCTTGTCTTACGTCCCTTCCTATTTTTGTGTATCGATTGAATTCATTTTCTATCAGCAGTGTGGTAAGAATATATGGACAATTTGACAATCAAAGGGGAGGACACATTGAAGTCAAGAAAAGCAGGGGAAACAGTGAGTAACCTACTTGAATTTGAATACGTACCACATATCAGTTCAGTTATGTGCCATGCGTGATACACGCTTAGGTGATCATGTATCTTTCGATACATAACTAACGCGGCAGATTTTTCCCGCAGTAGGTAGCCATTTCTTTCTGCGGTAGACCAGTTGCCATCCAAGGCTATAGAACCTGGTTTGTCCTTCTATTTTCCCATAGCTTGGGGTGGGAGGAGAAGAGGATTCATACCTTTCCCAAGGGTATTAACACGTAAGTGAATGTAATGGATTCGACTGGAATTCGAACTCGGCTCTCCGATTCCTTAATCCGAGTCGTTATCCATTATTCCACCGTGCCTCCCCAGTCGTTATCCATTACACGTTACTACAAAACAAGACCACAAAAACACGTACCACAAAAAAAAAACACGTAACACTAAACACGTACCTCAAGAAGACATTGGAGTGTTAAAAAAAGAATTGCTTATAGCAGAGAAAATAAGAAGTTGATCACCTGGCGGTGAAAGGGAGCGAGACAGATAATTATTCACTGAGGGCCCTTAACGGTCGACGCAGGTCCACACGCGCGTGATTGCACAAAAGCGATGGCGACGTGCCGACCGATAGTGGCTTTTCTCACATGTATCAGCTCTAGAATTGCCAGTTATCCATCGAATCTGAGGAGGATTACGGTCCCGAAAATTAGGTCCAGTTCTTGAGCCAGTCGCGGTTTCTGTTTACTGACATCAGCCTGTAATATCAGATGCTTTATAGAGGCTGCCCCAGTCTGTGCGAGCGTTTGAACATCTGACTCAGAAGAGGAAATTAAATAGAAAATAATAAAGGTTTATACAAAGTTTAGATTCGTAGAAGTACCAATGGGAAAACGTGCTTTCTTTAAATTCCAACCTTGCCCTGTCTGGCTTTTCCTCTGTAAGTACAATCTTTCTTTAGCAGGACTTCGCAATTTAGGCTGTTTTTTTTTTTTTATTAATTTCTTAATAAAATAAAAAGCAGGGATAGGAACTGAAACACGTGTACCCACCAAGATAGTGCTTATGGTAATATATATATATATAGCATAATGAGAAGCCACGTATACTTTCTTAATATGTATATATAGAAAAAGTTGCAAATTAAAAAATAATAATCTTTTTTTTTATGAAAGTATTTATATATATATATATTAAACATTTTTTTAGATATAGTTAATTTTTTTTTTTTAAACAACATCTAAAATATTATTACAGTTAGATTTACGTTAAGAATATTCGAACACAGTGGCGTTCCATATCACGTGACCTCCGCATCTCGCGACAGACACTACTTTTAAACAAACAGTTATTTCTGAAGAAAGATTGAGGTCGATCTGAAATATCAAACATGTATATAAATAAATAAATACTTTCATAAAAAAACATTATTATTTTTTTAATTTGCAACTTTATATATATATATATATATGTGTGTGTGTGTGTGTGTGTGTGTGTGTGTGTGCCTGTATATATATATAATATTTATATATTATATATACGCGGTACTTATTGTAAAGCGCTCAATATCAGTGATAGAGCTAATATATTTAGTTAGGTTGATGCTAGTTTCTGACCCTGGGTTTCACGCTCTCTGCGATCGTCAGACAAAGTGATTAACAATTTTACTTACAATAGTCTTACACAGACCCCATCTTAAGTTTAAAAAAAAACAGATAGAATGTTTGTGAACCCCCGTGCATAGGTATCTATGTGTGTGCGAACAAAATAGACGACCGGTCTGTGCGTTGGCATTGCCACTTGGAAAGTAGTTCGCTACACAATCCAACATTGAATACAGCGACCAATTGCGTACGTATGCACGCAACGAGACATGGATGCGCATATACACTCAGTCCCACACTGTTCATATATGTTTATGTTTTTGTGAGCTGCAATGCGTGAACGTGCGTGTATGTATGTCTGCGTACCTATGAGTGGAGTTCCAACGACAATTGTTCCTCCCACTACCATAAAACATATTGTTGTGGTAGGATCCACCTAATTTGCATAGTGGAGTACCGACCATATAAATATGGTTGGTACCGGGAAGAGAGGGAGGAATCAAGAGATTCAACCAGAGACTCTGCCCGACTGCGACTCAGTAAACACATTCTCCAGGAACGGTCTTACCAGGAATATACAAAAGACTATATGTAAATATTGTGTACACTTTCTTGTTTCAATACATTTTGTTCTAAGTACATTTTGTGTTGCATTATTATTCCATGCATTAGTCAAGTTTCAACACATATATCCGCAACCATAAATAAATTCTAAATTTAAAAATTAATCAGTTTGTCTGACGATCTCAGAGAGAGTGAAACCCAGGGTCACAAACTCACATCAATCCAACTATATATTTCATATATGTATTCGAATGAGCTGTACGATATGGTACTTAGACTGTATGAATTTAAGCACAATACTAGACTTGCGGAGATCTCATCAATTTATAGCTGAGTTAGCTAGATATAGCCGTAACTTTTATGCTAACAGTTTCTTATCCCGCACTTCTCGCTTGTGGAACTCCATCCCGGCTCCAAGTTTTCCAACTAACTTTACTCTACAAAAATTTAAATGCAATGTCTATCGCTATCTACTGTCCTCATTACTCTTTTCTCTTCCTGCTTATTATTAATATTTCTATTCCTAATCGCTCTGTAACCCCTTGCTTGCTTGGGGTAATACCGATTATATATATATATATATATATATAAACGCACATATTTCTATCGTTCTGATCTGAAGTCCATCTGAGGATGGCGAAACGCGTAATCAAATCCATAAAACTTTATATCCTATAAATACACATCTTATCGACCTGGAAAGCACAAAAAACATATCGATACGTAATTAGAAAATATATGAAACTTAATTTCAAACCATTCTGAAAAAAATTGGTTAAGGATTTATTAACTGGGGGAAATAAAAAACAAGTTTCGACAACACAGTAAGATTGAAATTAAAATGAACAGCATAAATTAAAATAACGGCTTTTATACAAAAGGCACAAAATTTTCTTCTTTCATCCCGACCGAGTGATGCTAGCTTAGTGGAAAGTGTACTGACGATTTAATATTGAAACACATACACACATAAATCTTTCGCCCTGATCTAAGTAAGTATATCGTTCGATGTTGAAACGCGTAATCAAAACATCAGTTTTACTCTTTGTCAAATTTTTGTCTGGATCCTAGATTCTATTTTTACATATATATTATCTCTCTCTCTCTCTCTCTCTATATATATATATATATATATATATATATATATATATATATATATATATATGTGTGTGTGTGTGTGTGTGTGTGTGTGCGTGTGATTGACTATGTCTTTTTCTTATTATTGTGTATTTGGGCATTTTCTACATGTCCGCCACCAGTCGTGACCGCCAATTGCATGACTACCAGGCCTATTGTAGGTATCACCTAAAGGCTCAATCAACGATAATATTAGAAACTAACCACACTATTTGAACCTTTCTGAGGATTAAAACATATTATTATATCAATATTATTTAAAATAGATTAAATTCTATAGTAAATATTAAACAGAAGATATGGAATTAAGGATAAGTTATGGTCACATGTAATCTATTGCGATTTCAGTGTTATGGGACCTCGATACCATCAAAATACCGTCCTTGATGCCGTTAAATTAACCAAACATATGAATTATATTGTACAATGAAAAAAAAAACCTGTATACTAGTATTATATTAATCACCAAGATAAATTTACATTCAAGTATATATCTTTTAGCCAAGCACGAAGTGTAACAATAGATATTTCCGTCAATGTCTGATAAATTTCTAGCATTACTCACTTTTTGATTTTATAACGTATATTGTTCTTTAAACAGAATTATGATATATATATATATATATATATATATATATATATATATATATATATATATCGATATGTATGTATGTATATAGTTTATATATATATATGATAAAATATATATATATATATATATATAAGGATATTAATATATAAGTTAAAATTAATATATATTAGTAAAAATCAACTTTTTTTTTTTCCTTTTACATTTTTTTAAATGTCTGATTTATTATTAGATTGTCTCGCTGAATTTATATCATTTAATAAAATGTAATCTGTCTGATGAGGCATATATATATATATATATATATGTGTGTGTGTGTGTGTGTGTGTGTGTGTGTGTGTGTATAACTGTTGAAATAAATTTATAGCCGATTTTATGATGACTAATTAGGTCTTTTCTTTATTATTTATAAAATTATTTCTATTGCTCTGTATATAAATTTATACCTTGAGCTCTCATCATGCAGTTAACTTTTTAATATTTTTATATTAAAATGCCTCTTTGAATAACACCTACCACCTACGGATTTAATTTTTACACACACACATATATAATGGATATTGTCTGTGTCTGTGTGTGTATGTCTCTCTCTCTCTCTGCCCCCATATATATATATATATATATATATATATATATATATATATATATATATATATGTATATATGTGTGTGTGTGTGTGTGACAGTACACGTTATAAATAATACAGTTTATAATAATGGTCTCTCTACCTCTCATTTACCATCAGCGTGCATGGGACATGTTGATTAGTATTTTCACGCCACAGGCCATACACACACACACACATACATACACACACACAGACATATTTTTCTTTCTTTTAAAGTTGACATATTTATAAGAGAAATATGTTCTATATCGGGAATAGAGTTTATGCAGGTATAATCAGCGTGTACAGAGCGATCTACACTGAATGGCGACTACTGGTATTTTCAGGTCTTAAGCGATAATCAGCCCATAGTCTGCCCATATAAATCTGTATTTATGAATGTATGCAGATTTATTAAAAGAAGCTAAATCCCGCAAAGGCCGAAAGTATTTATTTTTTCTAAAATTCTCACTTGCATAACATTTTTCTGGTGGACTCTTCTGAAATTTCCTTTGTGCTTGTCTTTTACCGAGGCAAGGTAAAAGTAAATTGATTACCCGACAAGCGTGACACATTTTCCATTGTAAGCATTTCTCCATTGCGCTGAAAAGTTTAAAATTAAATGTACATTATGATATTTTCATTAATTCCTGAGTGAATAGTGTATGTTTTGGGATGATCTACCATGAAACAGGATTTTAAATCGTATGCCATATGAGACGAGTATATCGTGTAGCCTACGCTAAAATCTGGCCAAGATTTTTTCAAAGAGAAAATAAATGCCAAATTTCAAAATGATTTAGTCGAAAGTCCTAGCATTACACAAAAAATGCTCGATCATAAATAAACTTGTGATTGAAATAATCGTTCAACTTCTGTTATTAGCTTGCGTCAGAGCAGATGAGTTTCATTGAAAATTGAATTCAGAAGTGATAGATTTATTGTTCAATCCTAAAAGATATCTTTTCAAGTTCTGTATGCGAGTAGTAGTCGATCGTGATTCTCCACAGATTACTTTTCTTTCTTATCTGTAAATTGCCATGCCTTCTTGGGAAAGATAGTGGAATGGTTTCCCGTTGCCTTCTCCACGGTCTTGAATTCAATTTTAGACTGATTTTTACCTAAGATTAAAGTGTGCATTGTATCCAAAGCTGGTGTGCCCAGCCTTCGCTGATATTGAACCTATATAACTAGAAAGAAGGGACTAGATAGATCCGTGTCTCTCCTAAGCGCATTTATACGAAACTGAACTCAAAACATATGGTCTGGTGCTCCCGCTATATATCTAGAGTTTCTTTATAAAACCCAAAGAAGAATCAGCAATATTATTAGTCCTGATCTGACATCCCGGCTTCAGTCACTTTCTAATCGCCGTAAAGTTGCCTCCCTGTACCTTCTATATAAATACTTTCATGGCAGTTGTTCGGATGAGCCCTTCGCCATGGTACTTCGACTTTATGAATTTAAGTACATTACTAGTCTGGCGACGGGGTCTCATCGATATACAGTTTAGTTGGCTATATGTAACCGTTAGTTCTATGCTAAAAGTTTCTTTTTTCGCACTTCTCGCTTGTGGAACTTTCTTCTGGCTCCATGTTTTCAAATCAACTTTAATGCAATGTGAATCAATTTTCTATTGTCTTCCCGATTACTCTTGTTTTCTTCTTGTTTCTTAGTGATGACTGTTTTTAACTCTTACGCGCTTAGTAACCACCTGTGTCTTAGTGGCTTTACTGCCTTCTTTAGGGTGAACTCGATTAAAAAAAAAAAAAAAAAAAAAAAACAGATTCACCCGGAATTTGAAATCGGTTTGCCTTTTCTAGTTTTTGCGCCGATAGCCGTTACACACCCCGCTCATCCTAAGCTCACAGTACGATAATAAGATAAGGACTGCAATATATAATTTTGAAAAATCAGATTGCAATGCTAATTATTTTAAAACTTCCATGGCTTTCGTTCAAAACAGATATAAGTGTAAACAGATTTTGAATACGCAAAACATTCTTTAACGAAAATTTTAATCAGATTTTTAGGAAAAAAAAAAGAGGAAAAAGAGAAGGTGGTGTGAATTGAAATATGTAACTGAATAAAAAAAGAAAAGATTGAATAGTAAATGTCAGCTCGGAATATGCATTTAAAAATGCATGAGAATCTGCGAAACAAATAGTTTTTTTTCTGTTGTCGCCTTTGTACAAAATGTGATTACCAGATTTGTTAAGTATTAGAATTTTGACTAAGTTTTTCGCGATTGAAAGCGTGAACAACAACTTATAAAATTATAAAAATGAAAATAAGAATAACAAGTGCGATGAACAGTCTTTATTTTTTAAAAAATAAATGTATTGTTGGTCATTTTACTATAAAAATGTATTGTTGGTCATTGCTATAAAAATGTATTGTTGGTCATTTCGCTATAAAAATGTATTGTTGGTATTTTTACTATAAAAATATATTTTTATACTATCTTAGTGTTTTGATTTTATTTTAGAGTTTCACTATTTGCCCACAACTGGGACCCTAAGAGACGTTGCCACCGCGGATCAGGGTAGACATGGGAACAACAGCAATTAAGAGGTCGTTCCACGCCCATCAAAACTTCCCATCACGCAATCAGAGGTTTTGCTGCCGGATGTAGTTTATTGTCATAACCAGGACGAGCGAATACTTAATAAAAAAAAAAGGGCAAGTTAGCAAGATCTGTGTTTAAGATCCACACGCTCTAAGCGACATGTCTCCTTTCACAGCAGATAAGTACCTTCCTTAACAGATGATGAAAAATGGGTTTCATATAACAATGTTCAACGCAAAAGGTAGTGAATTCACAAGGATAAATCTCTGCAGCCGACCCTTCCATAGAAGGAAGAACGGTAATATTGTGCGTGTGGTGCAATCGTCATTAAGAGTTCTTAAAACGCAATGAAACACTAAATGCACATTTATACGTTCAGCAGCTGCAATGTGTCCATAACAAGTTTAGTTGAAAAGAACACATACAGCAAGAATAACCCAGGATTAATTCGGTTGGTCTGTTCTACTCCACCCACCATATTCGCCAGACTTTACACCAACCGATTATTACCTCTTTTAATCGCCGTAAAATCATTTGATATGAAAAACTTTCTCTAATATAAACAAGACTCAAGAGTTCTTCGAAAACTTTACACATAAAATAATGACTAGATGTAACCGCAAGTTCTATGTTAACAGTTTCTTTTTCACACTTCTCGCTTGTGGCTTCTTGCATTCTAGTCAACTTTGACCTTCAACAATTTAAATGTAATACCAATCGTTATCTTCTGTCTTCTTAATCCTTGTTCTTTTATTGTTCTCTCTCCTTAATAGCGTTTTTCTTATATTCTCTAAAACTCACCAACTCCTTGAATCTTAGTGACTTTATTGCCTTGATCGTAGTGAAATGATTCTTTAAAGCCATGAACTTGGAGGACTTGGAGAAAGAAGGACTCCGCCAGATATACTTACCCAAGACACGCTATGCATGAATGAACACCTCTCCGGCTTTCAATCAAGATATGCCGAAAGAACTGGCCAGGTGCTCATTTGCCCAGCGACCCTCTGATCACGGGACTAATGAAAATTTAATGAAATGTCAATCATTATATACTGTCTTCTTGATTCCTCTTCTTTTATTTTTCTCGCTCCTTATTAATGCCATTCTCGTTCTCATTCTTTCACACTCAGTAACCCTTTGCGTCTTCATGGCGTTATTGCTTTACTTGGGGTGAAATGCCTGCAGAATTTTACTCAAAAGGTATCATCGAGTAGTCCGATAAGTGGAAACATGTCATTGCAAATAATGGTGAATATATATTTGAATAAAATATAATTGTAATTTACTTTTTAAATAAAAAAGTTGACTTCTTTTATGTGCCAACTCCCTATCATCATCTTCATCTTGCGGCCTCAGCCGAGATTGAACTCACCAATACTTTGATTGGTGTAGTTAATTATCTTGTCAAGTAGCTGAATTCTTGATGCTTCGCTAGGGCTATCAAGGGTGTTTTTCATCGTGACACCATCACTAAATGGATTGCCAACCAAGGCTCAGAGAGACTCCATTCACCCTCCGCAGGTTTTGAATTCAGAGTTTTCCGTCTCCTAGACCAGTTGCCATCCAAGACTATAGAACCCAGTCTGTCCTACTATTTACTCATAGCTGGAGGGAGAAGAAGAGGATTCATACCTTTCCCAAGTAAGTGAATGTAATGGATTCAACTGGAATTCGAACTCAGCTCTCCGATTCCTCAATCCAAGCCGCTATCCATTACTCCACCGTGCCTCCTCTTACTCCACCCTATAGGCGATCATGGCACTCCACAATTTCCTGTCCTTTGTAGCTTTTAATAAATTTTTGTTATCTTTCTTAAATCTTGTTCTAACATCCATTTATTTAAGCTCGCTCGTTAGGTTATGCATTGTTTTCCTCTGTTCCTCTTGCCTTTAATCTGTCCTCTGAATACTATATTTCCAAGCCCTCTTTCCTCATTATGTGCCCTACAAATTTCAACTGTATTTTCTTCTTAATATAAGTGCCTTTTTCTAAAACTTCGTTGTTCAGTCCATGGTATTGCCAACATCCTTCAGATTTCTGTTGCTTCATGTCATTTCTTCATCTCTGTGGGGACTGTCCAACATTCACTGCCATATAAGAGGACTGATATGATGTAACAGTCCAAGACATTTTTCTTTGCTTCTAACGTATTTTTTCTATTTCTTAATACATTGCTTAGATTTTGGAAGACATATTTCGCTATTAAAACGCGTCTTCGGATTTCAGACGATATAAAAGAAGAAAATATAAAAAACAGGTGGGAACAAAATAAGACGTAGAGAGAGGATGATGATTGGTTGAATAATACAAATGATTGAAAGACCGAAAGAAAAGGTGTAAAAATTGCGACATTAAACTCCTTTAGGAGCAAGGCGTTGTAAAATAAGTTCTGCTTTTTTTTTTTTTTTACAGTAGCTCCATCCTGTACAAGACCCGGGCGCCACTTGAGTTAGAAGGTTACGTTAAGAGGCAGTTTATATAGCTAGGAGGGTAATATAAAGGTTAACTCTAGACCTGAACAGGTTAAGATTGTAGTGATCGGGGAAACATCCTCTTGGGAGTCTGTTCCACAGGGCAGTAGTTCACAGGAAAAATCTGTTTGGGTAGAACTTCTTGCGATGGAATACGGAAGGAATGTGGATGGTTTTCTGTGATGTAACTGGCATGGCGGCCCCTAGGCTGGAAGAACCAAGGAGAATTTTTTTTTTCTGTTTTCGCATATGAAACTAATCCATGTTTGCATAACTTTAAAACGAGAAACAAAGATTGTAGGCGATAGGGGAGAAGGAGAGAAAAGATTTATTGATGGATTTATTTGGGTTTTTTTTTTTGGTTTTTTTTACTGTTTATCAACCTTTTACAGGTTATTTAAAGACAGAAAATTTTTTTTAGATTGTAAGCATTACTGGAGATAACACTGATGTACTGATACAAGATTTACTAATTAACCCATATCTGAGGAGAGAAGAAGTGGATTTACATTTTCATCGGATATTTGCACGTAAGTGCATATAACGAACCC